CTCTCCATTTAGTTCCTACTAACCATACTCCAGTTCAGAGTCATGATACCACTGTTGAAACCACTTGCTTGAGCTCTCTGTCCTCAGTCTCTAACCTCTCCAATGTCTACTGCTGTTGAGTTCTCCCCAGCAGAAACCTCTGGTTCTGTCATTCTAAGCCTTAAAAATGTCCAGGGCTCCCCAGTGACTATTCACACAGCTCTCCTAAAATGACCTCAGCTTACCTTTCCAAGTTTGGGGACTGCTAGCTATGTTTAAATGTATTTTCAGCCACTGTAACTAGCTCTTGGCATTGGTTATTAAATACCCGTTCCTGTCCTTGGCCCATGCCATGCTACCTACCCACCACACTCTCCTTTCTATTCCTCAAACATTCCATGCATGTTCCTGCCTCAGCTTTTCACTTGACATGGTCTCTGGCTGCAAAGCTATTTCCTATATATCTGCATGGCTCTCTCCATTTTCACTGAATTCTCACTTGTTCACATAGCTTGCCTGTTTAAAAGAGTATACCCCATCACTGCATTTTCTCATCTTGCTCTTTTTTTTTCATTTCTTCCTCCATAGCACTTGACAAGACCTGTCATAGTATTTGATATGTGCCTTATTCTCTGGTTTCCTAACTAAAACGTTAGCTCTATGAGGACAACCTGTATAGTTTATCATGCTAACACTACAAGGAATCCTAGAAATTAGGACCTGTGTATTTATATTGTGGTTCTCAGCTCCAGCTTTCTACAGGTCCTGCCAAGGAAGAGTGGAAATGGTCCATTCACCAGAAAGACTAACCTGCCAGTTCCCTAAATGGAGCCTGAAGGTCAAGGTCTATATGCTCATTTCCAGGCTTTTGTTTCATGTTTTCTCTAAGTTATTATACTGCTATGGAAAAGGTGGAGACAGAATGAGACAGGCTCTCTCCCACCAATTTTAGCATAAACAGGAAAGGAAATTCATTTTTCCACTTTCATGTATTTTATGTCCTTTTTTGGAATATGGATGTGTATTAGAATGCAAAGTCAGACATTATGGTCAGGGGCTCCAGTAATAATACCAAGAATATTGCAAGAATATTGCCTAGCATATAACAGGTATCTAATAACTCTGGGTTCAAAAAAAAGAAGGGAGTGGGTGTGGCAGGGTATGCTTGTAATGGCAATATGTGAGAGGTTATTGAAGAAGGATGAGGAGTACTAGGGTAGCCTTGGATACATGAGACCCTGTCTCTACATGGTTAGAGAAAGTGAACGCATGCTAAATTAGGCATTTCTTTTTTCTTCTGATACAGGATCTTCTTACGTAGCTCTGGCTCAATATGTAGACCATGCTGACCTTGAACTCAGAGATTCACCTGCCTGTGCCTCATATGTTCTGAAATTGAATACCTTCACCACCATGACTAGTCAAAAGTCAGTTATTTAAATTCTGTTCTTTCCATAGGTAAAACAAACACCCCTAAAACCCCTGTTGCTGCCCTAGGCCCTGAACTATTTACTATATTAAATTGACTTATGTTTAACCCTGTAAGGTCTAATCATTATATTTATATTTTTTTAAGTATAATGCATAATCAGGTCAATTGTTCCTTTTTTTTCCTTATACCAGAATGCTTACTTTTATAAGTATGGATAAACTATTCCTGGCTTATAATGAAATTAAATCAATCATTTTAACTGTTTTCTAAATCTGTTTTATGTGATGTATTACTAAACAGTAAAAACTATTCTGGAAAAAAAAACTATTCTGTTCACAGAGTTCTACTATACTTATTTAGAACTAGAAACCCCCAAAAAGTCATCATTTAGTTCTACCTCTATCTGACTCCAAATTCTCTGCAACTTTCATATAGGTAATGGAAGACATTTTATCAGTTTCACATTATAGAATCTATAAAAAATCTTCAACTCCTTTAGTGACTCTTTAAAATAAATGTGTCAGTATTAACTTGAGACCATATAGGACGTTTCTATTTTTGTTGTTGTTGATGCTGCTGTTTACTTTTTTCTCAAAGCCCAGCAATAACCCACACCAAATAACACATGGCTTCCAATAAAGAGGAAACGCCTTCTTCTAACATTATACAAAATCCTTCCCACCTTTTTTTTAGTTTTATTTTCTGAGACAGGGTTTCACTATATAACAGTCCTGGATGTCCTGAAAATCACTCTGTATACCAGAGTGCTGTGAAAGTCACAGAGATCTGCCTACCTCTGCCTCCCGAGTGCTGAGATTAAAGGTGTGCACCACTTGCCCAGCCTTCCCACCATTCTTGATCCAGAAATAATTGCATTTCTACTTTTAAACCTACAAACAGCATACTATACTTAGAAAAAAAAGATACTTCGTGGTCTTAATTACAGTTTATAATGTAATTGCTATTTATATTTTCAAATCATGCTTGCATAAATATTATAGTTAATAAAAGAATAAACTGGACATATGATTGAAGTATTTATTTATATTTTGAATATATTAAACATAAATAGTCCACTGAAAACTATTTTGAAATTAGTATTTTCATTTCACAATGGGAAGTCTGAGGTTCATATATGGTCTGCAAATTACTCAAGATCTTACAGGCCCTATGCAACACAGTCTGAAACTCAACCCTCTTGGTTATGAATATATGACTTCTACAAAATACAGAACATGTCCAATGGACACAGAAAGACTAACCCAAATAATGATAGAGACTACTGTTCAAATATGTAAATTACTATAAAATAAAATAGGAATGTCATTTTTAAAAAACCCTTAGGAAATATATGAAGTAATAGGAACTACCAAATAGAACGGAACAACATGTATAAAAGAAAGCTGCAGGAATTCAGGTTAGTTATGAGGTGGAAATGGGAGGTGGTTTGGGGATCACAATTAAGAATCGCTTCATGCAAAAGCTGCAGAGTGAATATGGGCAGACTATTCACAAAACCAGAATCAGTATGACCTGGGGACGAAGCTGTAGCTATGTCCCAATAACACGCATCTTTCAGGTTTGCTTTTTAAAGGAAACTTTATAAATATGAAAAGTGAAAAGCAACAGCAATAGTAAAAAGAAAATCAGCAGCAGGACCTCAAATGTTATTATTTCGGCTTGCAATCAGTGTTAAGAGAAACAAAAGTGAAAAGGCCATGCAGACCTACTTCATTGTATATTCCATCTTTCCAATTCCATTCTGGCTCTTCCAGTACTCATTTTTAAACAAATGTTAAAATCTAAGTAACTACAATAGTTAAATTTATTATTTGAGAATTCTACTGTCTATAGCACTTCTATGAAATTTCTACCTGCCTATTTTACCAGCAAAAACAGTCCTCCCGTCTTTTGAAAATGAATGAGCCCATGACACATAAGTCCTTTGAAGCTATCTTTTGACTGAGGTGATTTTTATATACTGTATGTTTATATCTCTCTGTAGCTGCAAAAACAAAAAGTAAAATAAGGACAAAACATCCATAATGCACCTCTCCTACCCAACTGTAAATTAAACCTTCATTTCCTGTAGAAGGGGTTCCTATAATTTATTCTCTTTGTAGGTCATGCAAGCTACAAAGACAGTTTTGTTGACTGGCAAAAGAAGACAAGTGAGAGCTTTATTCTAAAATGTTAAAAACATAGTGCTAGGGAGATGGAAGGACTTACACGGGACAGCTTCTTCCTGCAACATGAAAGTTAATCAAGATGGATACTTAGGTACTTGCTGGGCCACCAAAGAAGGAAAGAGTGTTCTAGTTAAAAGTTAGTATATGCTTTATTTAGAAGGATTCAAGAAAAATGTCTTTAGGAACTATTAAGAGTTCCTCTCAGAATAAAGACAGGAACACAGCTAAAGTTGACATTTTTAAAAGCAGGCATAAGATCACAGAGATGGCTCAGTGGCCTGACAACCTGAGTTAAATCCAGATGGTGGAAGGAGAAAACTCACTGTGGGAGTTGTCCTCTGACCTCTATACATGTGCCATGGCACATACATACATACACACACACACACACACACACACACACACACACACACACAAATACAACATTTTAAGGAAGTAGAGATGAGATTATAAAGGGAAATTGGGAGCCTTTTGAAGCTTTTACAGAGGACAGTAACATGTTCCTGGTAACTACATGTAACATCTCCCATGTACAGGGAGGAAAAAAGGGAATAAGTAAGGAATTTTGAAAGGCAAAGTTAATATTAAACACATCCACTATGCTAAATACATAGTTTTTCTGTGATTTAAAAGATACTTCATACTCTATTCTCCATATAAATAATATATACTGAAGAGAAAACGTAATTAAAAATAGCTCTGAAATACAATGCAGGTAATGTCCAGCTTGTTACATAGGTATATTAGAAACTGCAATACTGTAAGTATAAAATATTTAAATGGTAGCACGAAAATGAACATTAAAACATAAGCTGATAATTTTAACTTATTTATTTAATATCTGATGTCCAGGGAAAAATTACTCACCAAAGGTCAGAGCCAATATATACCATACAACAAAACCAGGTCTTCAGGCCTCCAAACTGCATAGCACGGGTTGATATGCATGCACATGTGCAGACATACACACCATCAATGACACCAAAATCAAAGTAAGACATTATAAAAAAATTGTGTAAACAGAAGACCAATACTTTAGGAATACACACACACACACACACACACACACACACTGCTCCTGAGAAACTGACATACAGCACACAGTTTCACCGAAGTTACCTAAAATGTCAGACATACGATTCTCCAAGAAAAAAAAAAAGAAGAAAAAAAAACTCCAAGAAAACACAGGCATATTCTAGCTCTAAAACATATTCTAAAACTATACGAAAGTCCTTAACCTAGCTAAATTTTAGACACTTGATCTCAATATTCACCTTAACACTTTGGAAAAATACCCAGGAAACAAACAAAAAAAAAACCATTAACTATTGCACGCAAAACTCACAAATTTCTGAAACACAAATTTAGTACTAAGGGTAAAACACATCTTTTGTACTTACCGTAACTTTACTTCCAACTATCTGCATGCAGTGGTCAACGAAGAATGGTTATGGTGTGAAAAAAAACAAATAGCAATAATATTAGTAATCAGAAGCTTTGACAGAAGTTAAGTGTTTAGTAAATTAGTCACTGGCCTACTCTAGTAACACATTTAATGCTTTAGATCCTGAGGTGAAAACAAAATACCAATATTAATGTGTGCCATTTCAAAAGTATAGTCTACACAAAGGGAGAAACGATCATGATGATTTGGAATTTTTTAAATTCTGTACTCTAATGGGTTTTTCATACATTACAATATAAATATAAAATGTAAGTGTAATATACACTCAGATATTTTCCCTATTCACAGTCCCTCAAAGAAATTATATATATGTATATATATATATATATATATATATATATATGTGTGTGTGTGTGTGTGTGTGTGTATGTGTGTGTCTGTGTGTCTGTGTGTCTGTGTGTATATATATATATATATATATATATATATATATATATATATATATATATTATAATACTGCTCTTGTTTGCTTTCCTATCTATGGCAAATATAGTGTTAAGGTCAGAATAAGTTATCTTAAAATACAAATGTTGCATTTAAAGTCAAGCATCAAGTTCATAAATGAACTTTAGTTGAAAGCTGAATATTTAATATTGTTATATATTTTAAACACACAATATCATTTTAACTTGTAATTTTAAATTACAGGACAAATTCATCATTATTGTTCTTTTCTAGGTCATCCTACTGTTCCAAAGAATGAAATCAGTGTTTTCTATATGATGTGAGAACAAACAATGCACTTTATCTATAAAAAATGCACATATTAATATGGAGGAAACAGTTCAGAAATTTCAAGAGATGAGACAATTTCTGACAGGCAGGATTGTGTTTAGGAAAACAAGAAGAACCTCTTAACATAAACATAATCTTATGCCAAAATCCAAATGTAAGTCAAATCACTGTTATCAGATTACCACACTTGAATATCAAGCAGTGTACCAAAAAGAGCTAATTCACTATTCAAAACTATTCATGTGACAACAGTTATTATTAATATGTGTTGTATTTTTCAGCTAGTGCTTTTAAAGCAAACATCAAATTTAATTGAAAGCCAAGTATCCTCAGCTGAGTAAGATATTAAAAGATATAAAAATATAATGGTGGCTTCCAAGTAAATGATTTCAGAGGAATCCACAAGTCTCCAAATAGAGAAGCGAGTTCCTTAAAAATTAATTCAACACACTGTTTACAAGCAGTGATTATTTAGATGAATAAAAGCTTCTTTGGTGCCACTAACAGTCCTCTGAAATGAAAGATATACTATTGACCTAAATTATTTCCTCCCACCAAAGAAGACAGAGGTTATATTTGTCCCTTGTTTCTTTAGTACAGACATGAGACCAAAAAGAAAGAATGAGAGCTTGTGTTAACAATTAAGACAGGTTCATAGTCAGTAAAACAACTAAAATGTGGCCCATTGAAGGCCTGTTTTAATGATTCATTCAGATTACAAAATTATTTCATTTAGCTAAAGCACATGCAGAAATATATTAGATTGATTAGTGAAGAGAAGCAAGAAGAAAATACTTTGGTCATATGTAGGCTCCACTGTTTCACATTATCCAACCCATAGATGAAAAGGACTTGAGGAAAAATTATCTGATAATGGCAACAACAAAGCCATAATAAATACATGCATATTGACATGTATACTACAGCTTTCAAGTACTTGTTTTACTGGTTAAGTCTACAAATTTGTAGATATAATTAATCTAACTATTTTGGATTATGTACTATTGAAGGGGTTTGGGGGAACAATTATACCTCTCAATGCCTCACATGTTGTCAAAAGTATAATATGAGTTCTAAAATCTCAATTTCAATGGTTATATGTAAATTTAGAAGTAAACTGCTTTCTTCACATTGTCGTAAGAACAATGATATGCAGTTCGCTAATGTTAGGGCTCTTGTGAATAATGTTTCCTCATGAATGTCCACATATACTGTTAGGTGTATGCCATATCTTCTCTCAATCACTAGCACAGTGTGCCTCTTCCTGGATTATGGATCAGAAATAACAATACCAACAGCTTGTTTTCCTGTTCTGCAATGGTACTTTGAAACTATACAATCTTCTTTGTTATTTGTAACTAAAGAATTCATACAGGCCAACTCCTTTGGGTCAGGACTAAAACTGCACCTCCTACAATAACAAGCATTTTGCTCCAAGAGTAATAAAAACACATTAGGTTCTCCACATACCTATTTAAAGTTCACTCAACAGTGAGTTACTCAATCTACTATTACTTTTGTACACACAAGTCTCTATTATAGGACTTTACATTAAGTGTGTGGGGATGAACAAACAATAGTTTTACAACATCAACTTGTGGTTTCCTTAATATCCTCTTATCCAATACTAATTGTAATAAAATTAATGATGCAACACCAAACTTTTTGTTTTAAAAACAGGTTCTGACACATGTCTGTATGTTGCTTCATTATCTTTTAATGGCCTTTCCCAGGAACATGGCTATTCATCACTGAGCTCATTTTTTCACTGTTAAAATTCCACGTAAAAGAACAATGCAGTTAGTTAAAGAGAAAACAAAATTTTACATTAAAATTTAACTATAGTCCTCCCATATTTTACACACAACTCTGGAACATTTTTGCACGTTAACACTAGTTCTCCTTTTAGATGAGATCTTTGATTACCTACAAAGCCTTTTTTATAACATGATAGGTTTCATCATATCTGAATTAAATGAGGAAACATCTTTAATGAGTATATGAATATAATGAAAAAGAATAAAAATATACAAGGCAGGCAAAGCATATTTAACACCTAATGAAAGCTAGACAGCAGGGCAGGAACTTAAGCTCCATACAAGCCAAGAGCCACACATTCAGTGATAATTGGTGCAAAATTGACTGTTATAATGATGAACAGGTAAAAGCATTGTTTCATATTGAATGTTGTTATTCATTGAATGACATCCCTCTTAACTTTGAAAGGGAAAAATGCATAAACAATTTTCATAGTTTTAATGATAGAAAACAGTACTAATTAATGTCTCTCCAAGGTGAGAAAGCTTCAAAACATTGCTTGTCAACAGGCTCTCATCCATCAAAATATTTGGCCCATGAAAAATAATAGCAAAAAAATAAATCTTGGAACTCTTGTGAAAGAAGAAGAGCTAACAAGTATGCTGAATGAGAAAAATAAGGGCCATCCAGTCAGTAGAACTAATTTTGTGGCTACTTAAAATGGAAAATTTCATGTCTTATAAAAAATACTCATTTCTATCATTTGAATAAAGCAGTTAAAATGAGCTCCTATCTCGCCTCTTCCCTTGCTCCACCTTTCTCTATCCCCTCTGCCCATTCTCTCTCCAGTTCTAGATGGGATCCAGAGCCTTAACAGGTTATGCAGGTGCACTTCATGCTAAGCTGGAGCCCCAGCCAACTGTTTTTCATTTCAATACAAAATTGAGCATAAGAACTAAAGGTGTACATTTCTTCGGCAGGCTGAAGAGAACACTGTATGAACATAAATTAAAATATGCTGTGCATAGATAGTAAGTCATTATCCAAAGGTCAAGGAATGAGAACGTCATATAATCTTCATTACAGTCAATCCCACTTACCCAAACACCACCAACAAATGAGCCAAAGACACTAACAAATTCCATCATTAAAACACCACATGATTAGTCATATATTATCTCTACTTTGTACTCAGATCTAGTTATATAGATTTGCTAGTATGCTTGCCTTTAAGCATTACAAAAACAACACTGAATATATGCCCTGCATTTCCTAAAGCATTTTACTGGGAACAATAACTTGAGTGCAAAAATGAGAAGAGATTCATCAGAATTTCAAAGTAAAAACCCTATGCATCACCTAATTCTATTGAAAACGATGCTCATGGCAAATTTCACTTATCACTTGAAACATATTTCTGCCCTTGGATACCAGAACCAAATTAAAAAACATGTTGTTGCTCTGCTCTGGCAGAGCTGCAATGCATTATATTTAAATAGTTGAGCATTCAGATTTAGCTTGCCTAAAGTACAATATAGAATCAATACAATTACAAAATCCAGTAGTTGCTACTGGAAGCAGTGTACTAAAAAGTATGAATGACATAGCCAAATAATGTTAGAATATACTTTTACAGTGAAGGACATTTTCTTCAGTGGTCAATGATTTAAACTGAAAATACTTTGTTTTAAATACAAGTTTACAAATACAGATATATAATATATTCACATACCTACATATAAATTATGTATGTGTATGTCTGAACACACATACATATACAAATACGCATAGTGATCTTATGAAACCTGGATATGTAAAAATGCTTTTCAGAAATACAAGAGATATATTTTGTCTTATCAAAAACACATTTTTTTCCTACAAAAAAATTCAAAATCTGAAGGCTACTTTTCAAAGAGCCTTAGAAGGGTATCAAGAAAAAAAATCAGCCGGGCGTTGGTGGCGCACGCCTTTAATCCCAGCACTCGGGAGGCAGAGCCAGGCGGATCTCTGTGAGTTCGAGGCCAGCCTGGGCTACCAAGTGAGCTCCAGGAAAGGCGCAAAGCTACACAGAGGAACCCTGTCTCGAAAAACCAAAAAAAAAAAAAAAAAAAAAAAAAAAGAAAAAAAATCAATTCTATTAAAGCAGTTAAGTTGTTCTTGTTGACAATAAATTCTTTCAATAAAACATATGTTTAGGTTTTGAAATTCATACCAATTTGATTAAACTTCCTGGTGTGTGCTTTCCTTTATATTAAGGTGAGCTTTACCACACCAATTATGAGACAGCTTACACAATTTGCACTCAAAACAACAAAGCAAAATAAGAAAAACATTCCTAAAAATTACATGCTTCAATGTAAACTTTATTAAAGGTGGCTGTGCTGTTTGCATTTTCTCTCTCAAATCTGAACATTTTATGTAGCAATCTGTATAGTAGGTAGAATACCAGCAAAAAACTGCCAATTTTTAGTGACTGCATAAAACCTCTGCCCTCAAATTCACTAAATTCTGTCAAGAGACTTCCATATTGACCTCTTGTTTATAATAATAGATCTCTCATATCTAATGAACAGTTCAGTACTGAGATATATATGCAAAATATATAAAAGTGTACATATATCATTTCCTTAATTGGCAATACGAGTGCACTGAGGCAAGAGTTTAAAGAGCTGAAGTTTGTTAACATTTAAGGAAACAGCTAAGCTGATTCTGTTGGTGCCTGGGAAGTGTCCCTACTTACAGATTTTGCAGTGGCAGAAATATACTGAACAACCATCTCACGCTTGGTGGCAAAATCCTTGTTTCGTAAAGGAGCCTTCTTTTCTTCATTAAGGTTCATATCCTCCTGTTAGAAAGAACATTTGCTGTGAGGATGGATAAATTATTGCTTAAGTGCTTCAAAAGTGATTAATGCAATTAATATCTAACATCAAATAGTTTTTGGATAGTTCACTATTATTTAACACTTGAGATACCATAATTTTGTGTATATTTCACACGTATTCATGATCTATATTTCTACTTAGCTAAGCAGTGACAAGAAAAAATATTTAAAAACTATAGTTATGCATTATACACTCCTAGCAAAGCCATTCATTTATCTCAATAGCAAACACACACAGACACAGACCCCCACACACACACAGACCCCCCCCCCACACACACACACACATTACTCTTTGGTCAATGTTTCCCAAGGACCACTGACACTCAAGAAACCAAATGTGATAGACAAATTTAACAGGAGACATAATCACCAAAGAAAAGTTCTCAGAAAGTTGCTATATATGAAAAAGAAAAAAAGAGGAAATCTAGCTGACTGTGTGTGTCTATGTCTGTGTGTGTATGACAACAAAAACTATGTTTTAAATTACCTTGTATCAACCATACAAATGCTTCATTATGAAACATCACACACGTATATTATACACTTTGATCATGTTATTCCCCCCCTCTGCCACTTCTTATCCCTACACGGTTCCTACAAACCATTTACTCTTATAAATATCCCCATCCTACTACTATTGTAGCTACAGACAACTGACTCATTACCTCCCCATTTGTGTGCAGTTTAATTTTTGTTAATGTTTTCCTTATAAAGCTGGATATGAAATATATACAGAAATATTTTAAAAACTGTATTGAAGTCGAAAGGCAGTGACTTTTTATGTCTTCTTTACTTTTAAATTTGGAATCATTATTTATTGGGCATATACTATACACAAGGAACTGTGCTTGGCTATTGACACTGAAAAGCTTAGACACTGTTTTTACACTCAAATTAAATACTACTATTTATGAAGCAATTCCTGATCCTTAGTAAATGGTATGTATGTTTGTTGACTAAGCTAACATAACTAATTCATGATCTAATAGGTACAAGTAATTATAATGGAGGCAGGTATAAGATCCTTTGAAAACATAGAACAGATGGTAAGGTCAGCAAAGATTTAGCCTGGATTTGAGTTATGAAGGTTGAGAAAAAAATCTAATGGCCAGAAGACCAGTTAAAAGATTCCCAATGGTCAGCTGTCATTTTTGGCTGCCCAATGACATTTAGACATGCCTTCTACGTTTTTTTTTTTTTTTTTTTTTTTTTAATATGATTTCACTCAAATTGTCTGGGCCTAGAGACACTTACTTCCATTTATGTCAGCCACTTGTGAAACTTCAAATCTCGATCTTGGTTTTTTAAGTTCACACATTTTAAAAATCCCTTTTTTTTTTTTTTTTTTTT